TTCTATTATAGCCAAAAAATGTGAAATTTTGTATTCAATTACAACAAATATGACTTGCATCATCAGAAAGCTTATAAAAAACTGCATACAGTATAAGACGTTTGGACAGTTTTTTTATTTCTGAAATAGTTTTCGAATTATAAACTTAAAAACGCATTTTCAAACATCGAATAATTAATTAGGGACTTTTAGCGAGATAATGTGCCTAATTTACAGCAATAACCATTGGAAGAATAAAAAAACTGTTTAAAAGTCTTTTATGCAGTTTTTTACAAGCTTTCTGATGATGCAAGTTATATTTGTCGCGATTGAATTCAAAATTTAACATTTTTTGTTGTAGTAGATCTAGGATTTAATAGCAAATAATGCTAACAGCACCGTAGCTCTCTAAAAAAACAGTTTCACGATGGCCCCACTTTTGCATGTTGTTCTACTCATAAAAAGATGCTACTGTGCACAATTTGGTGCTTTTAACCCTCTTCGGAAACATCCATGCACATATCCGCCACACTACAGTATATGACGTAAAACGGCTTATGTTCCTAAGACAGAAAAAAAATTAACGTTCATTAATGTTTTATGAGTTATATCTGGCCAAAAAGCAATTCCGACTAAATTTCGTTACGCAAGGGTAGCGCTTATTAGAATCTTGATTTGGGATCCTATAAAGATTTTTCTAAAATATATTATATTTATTAATTACAAAATTTTTGTTGAGTAAATTATTCCAACCATCACTCAATATCAATTCTAAGCAACTGCTGAGCATAGCCATAGGTGCGGTGCTAACTCGAAAACGTCATTTAACACTGGGACGTTAACTGGTGAATTTGAAACCTTATTTATAAGTTTGCACGGTGTTTTCACCGATGAAGCTAGAAGAATTCAAGTGCAACCAACCAGGGTCTTAGCGACTGGCGGCTGTGTGGAGGGACACTACTCAATATTTGTCAGTTGTGAGTAATTTAAGGATAATTTCTAACTAAAATTAACTTTCTAAGGTGTAAATCTTCTAATATCCCTGAAAAAAAAACACAATAAATTTCCAAAACTGCGCTAGGTAATGTAAAACATCTGGTAATTTGGACCTTTACACTTTCCATATATTTTCGCGACAACATTCATGCGAAGGTGTGTATTGTTTCTATTCTATTACAAAACCATTCTCAGAGAAACATGGTGCATGAGAAATCATGTTTAAAATTTTCTGTCCATGTTTCAATGCGAATAGTTCTGTAATAGAATCTTCTGTAATGGAATCCTCAAAGAATACACAGCCATGATGTCAGGGACTCAGGGACGGTACTATCCCTATTTGAATGGGGGAGTGTAAGTGAGGAATTCATTTCTCCTGCGTATAAATATTTTTTCCCTTATAGTTAATGTTTCCCCAAAAGTATTGGCGACGGTAAAAAAAATTTTCGTACAGACTATTTTTCCCTATCTGTTTTCTTCACGCACCACTTATCGTTTGCTTTCCTCAATGATGTATAATAAACGAGGAAGTGTTTATTACCAGCGTATATATGTTGAAAAACGACATGCTAGCCGGATTTTTCATAATCTACGTCGAGTTCTAGATAATCGTCACCTGCGACGTACGATATCATCGGACCCACAGCGTATGTAATCACGTGATGTAATGCATGGCGAGCACAGACATTGGCCATTTGGTGAGCCGTGAGACTAGCTTGTTCTTCATGATAAAGATGGCATATATGTGTTGTGTTATCTTTCCCAACCCAGCCTTCCCAAGTCTCAATAGTGACGCAAATGAGAAAGCTGTAAATAAGATGCTATATTAGTGAGTGCACCCCCAACAGCCATAAAGATTCTACTTGAAACCATGCAATAAAATCTTGTAGATGTTTTATTCTTTTGAGGTATCTCAATTACTGAGGTTGCAAAATTTCCTTAGAATAATCCTTGCATCTCATACTATGGTATATGTGTTTATAGCGGTTATCGCATAAGTATTGAACAGCAATCTGTGTTTGTACACCTGCTAAGTGATGTGATTTAGTAGTCACAAAGACGTTTTCGAGTTTTTCGTATTTGTGCCAAATGATATGGCTCATTATGTTCATTATGTAATTGGCCTAATTAACACTAGCCTGTGAGCAGGCTAAATTAACACCAAATCTTCGAATTCAATTAGTGTATTAAAGTAATTTGAATTTTGGTCTCCACACATGATAAATTGAGTATCAAAATAAAGCGTTAGCACATGACATCACAGCCGCCATGTTGGTGTTCCAATTCAAAAGAATTTTAATTAGACTCTTTTGTCTGGAACATCAACATGGCCGCCATGGCTTTTGTTAAGTTGGTCCCTGAGGAATGAATGCATACGCTCTATACATTATTGTCATATTGTCGCTACGACATAAAATCACATCGCTCAGATGGCACGTTGTCTTTATTAGTTAAAACCAGTGAGCTCCATGTATGTCTGGAGCGAAAACTCCAGACCAAAAAGTGAAGCCAGTTTCGTGTTAGTGATACGGTCCGTTAGAAAAAACTTGAATTAGCTGGAAAAAATGGTATAAAAGCTGTTTACGACCTTCAGATCTATTGGGCGTCAATGGCAATCATCGTGGCTCCACTTTTTCATGGTTAAAACTTTTCTCATGGTTAAACATGACATACACATTGCGAACGTGATTAAAACAGCTAGCTTACGCCATCTAATTTTATCACTTCCCGGGTACTGGCTGCCCATACTAGAAACTTGGCGTAGTCAGAGCAGTTCAGAAGAATCATGTAACTGTGTTCTGTTCCATCCCAATAGTGTTCCGAAAATATGGAGTATTCCGAAGATTAAATGAAGCAGGGTGATGCGAATTCCTAATGAGCTCAATTCGGAATTCTTACCACCCCCATGTAAATAGAGCCCACAAATCCAAGGTCCTTGACAAAGTTAAACGAATTTTCACCCCATCATAAATTGTCTCATATACAAGATAATCTAGTTTATTTTTTCATCATATCATCGTTCGAAATATCGACCGGTAATGTGTGTATTTCTTGGCAATTGGTTTTCAAAATATGTAAAAACTGGGCAAGACCGGAAAAGGGGTGTGGTGAAACTTCAATGAAATAGAACCCTAAAATTACCGTCATTGCCGGATCGATTTCACCATATTAGCATTAACCAGTCTCAAAACGTAATTCAAAATATCAGGTTATTTGGAGCCTTACAGCTTTCTCATTTGCGCTAGTATTGGGGTTTGTTTGGAGAGTTCTGTTGGCCATTTCCAGGTTTTAATACAGGAAAAGATCCGGGTGGGAAAGATGACAAAACACATATACTCCATCCTTATCGCGAATGGAGCCTCACCAAATGACCTAGGTCTGACCAACGTCCTGGGGAGTCCGGGCACCTTTGCTGCCCCAGAAAAATCTAGAGTCGTTGGGGTCAAACTTGGCAGAATTCCGAAGATTATAAAGTATACATCAAACTGACCAAAGACATGATTTTTTATGATCTCACAAACGTACTTTTTCCCAAACGTTTCTTCTCGGAATTAAATGAATTGGAAAAGTCACCTTGGTGATGCTGGGAGGAGAAATTTCGTGATTTTCATCGAAAATTTTGCATTTAGATAATTCCAGGGTCAAGGCACCATTTCCCACATTCTCAAAATTGCATTACAGGACATGCTTGCGAAGAAATATTCGCGCTATAATAATAACATATATGTATTTAACAGTTAAAAATCTAAACTAATTCCATTCTTCTTGGAACCATATTTCTTCGAACCCATTCTTCTTGGAACCTTAGGCTTCGGCTTTGATTGATAACACAAACCTTGGCCCTGTTATTATTCAGAGTTTTCAGACATCATATCGTTCCAGTTTGTGATTGATATGATCAACAATCGGCCGATTCGGCCCCGGATAATTCTCATTATTATATACACAAGGTCTGGATATGAGGTATTCTGCAATCTGATTGGTTCTCTACTAGCAGGATATTAGCTCATATCCTGCTAGTAGAGAAAAACAAAATGGCGGCCAAACTGAATTTACGATG